CCACTGACCAGCCCCCCCAACACTCACAGTTCTACTCTAGACCTTGAGACCCTCCCCCAGCAAAGAGAACAAGGACACCCACTCCTTCCCTAAACCCCATTGGTGACATGGAGTGAAGTTTCTCCCTCTGCAAACTCCCACCTGCAGCTCCACCGCAACGCATGCCCTCCTGGCAACCCTACCAGAGGCTCTGGGGAGAGCCTGAATTTAGTGCCCCTGGAGAGGTCTCCCCCCCTCCTGGGTCCCACCCACTATTTGGAAATCCAGAGCTGACTCTTACCTGAATCACTCAGGGACCAGCCCCACCCAGCCCCACCTCTGGAGGCAGCTTCACAAGCAGGCAAGAAACTGGAATGAACCCAGCAGCTTCAGCTCCCAGCCCTCCTATTCCTGACCAGCCCCCTGTGCAACCTTAGGCAACCAACTGCCCCTTTGGGGTCTCAGTTTCCCCTCTATAAAATGGACTTAATTCCATTCTTGCAAGAGTTAGTGTGAGGATGAAAAGGGTGGTCCATGGGAGCACACGAGGGCTCCAGTAGGAGCTCAGTGCTCATTTTTCACCTGCTCTCCCTCCATTCCCTACCTGAGCAGGAAGGTTTTGTGCAACATTCTCTTCCTCCTCCTCTTCACCTGCTCTGTGCCAACCTAGGGTTGGGCATGGGTGGTAAGGATAGTAATTGCTACTATTTCTTGACCACCTACTATGTGCCAGGTAGAATGCTGTGTATTTTACATGCAGTATCACATGACATTACTCAGCAGCCCTAAGGCATATTTTCACCTCCAATTTACAGAGAAAGAACCTGAAGTCCAGAGAGTTTAAGGGACTGGCCCAAGGTGGCACCACCAATCCCTGTGTTCTGAATACTAGGTACCAAGCACCTGAGTCCCAGCACAGCCAGCCAGCATTTGGAGGAGACAGAAATGCACCTTTAAGGCAGTTGGTCAGCTGGGTGTGAGGAGCGGGGGTCCAAATAAACAACATAGTTCAGCTGAGAAGCTAAGGACTGAGAGTCACAAAATATTTTTACATCCCTCTCTCATTGAAATCCTCACAGCAGCTCCAAGAGGAAGATACCCTTATCCCCATTGTGCAAAAAAGGAAACTGAGGCTCAAAGATCTTCCTAGAGTCTAGGGAGTAGACGGTGCCTGTGGTGAGGAGGAGGAAGAGGAGGAGTCAGACCCGCGGCTGGAACCCTGGCTGTGTGGTAGGCATTGTGCGAAGAGGCTTGGGTGCCTCATGTCCTCTGTAACTCATAACAGCTCCATAAGGTAGGCCTTCTTGCCCTCATTATTGCAAACAGAAAAGCTGACTTGCTAAAGGCCACAGGCGAATAGGAGAGAGATGGGATCTGAGTTCTGGTCTGTTTGATGTCAAGGTCTACAAGCTTAACCCCCTGTCACCCTCCATCCCTGGCTCTGGATCCCAAGCCCTGAATGTTTAAAACAACAAACACCCAAATCCTGGTGGAGGCTGGCCAAGAAGGCAGATAAACAAGCAGGAGTTTGGGGAGTGGAGAGTCTCCGAGCTCATCTGGGGAGTTTCCACTGCAGGGTCCCCTGTCCTACAGGCCTCACCGCTAGGCAGCTGGCGCCATCTGATCAACACAGGATGGCCGCATGCTCACGCCACTGGCTTCCTCCCCAGCCCGCCCCCACCGGCCGCCTAATCTGAAGAGCATCAGTCATCAGCCCCGGGATCCGGGAGACCAACCGCCTGTGACGGATTAGCCAGAGGAGCCTGGGAAAGAGCCATTGTCTTGCTAAGGGACAGTAGTTGCTGTGGAGGTTGCTGGGGCTGTAACAGGTCAGTCCCCATGTCCCCCTTCCTCCCCCACCACAGCTGAAGAAAGAGGAACTGTTTCCCTCCTACCTTTGCTCAGAACCATCAGTAGCTCCCACGGCCTGAGACCTTAGCCCGGCCTTCAAGACTCATCATTCACTGAGCAGCAGGAGGTCACAGAAGGAGCCCTGTATGGAGACCTAGAAGGCCTGGTTTCTAGTAACGTGACCCCCTGAGCTCATTCTGTGACCTTGGGCAAATTGCTCACCCTCTTGAGCCTCAGTTTCCCTGCTTGTTAAATAAGCCCATTTCCTTAGATGTGTTCAAAGATCGGGAGCAGAGGTTTCAGACTCAGGCGAACTGGATTTGGAGCCTGGCTTCAGTATTCTAACTGGATGACTTGGAGCCAACCATATATATGTCATCCCTGAGCCTCCATTCCCTCGTCCAAAAATAAGGACGGTAATAGTGTCTATTTCCTGGGAGCAGTGTTAGGATAAAATCACTTAGCTCAATGCCTGGCACGTAGGAGGCACTCAGTAAATGAGCAGTATTGGTGGAATTATTGTTATTACTACTAATTATATAATTAATCGAATTCTGTCAGTGTGGTCCTAAATGGGAAGGGGGGGAGGGGTGCTTGTACTAGATATGTAAAAAGAATTTAAGAGAGAGTGGTTGCGGGCAATTGGTTGCTAGCCTACAGTCCCAGGAATGCATCTCACCACACACAACGAAGTCCCAAACATGGAAACTTAAACAAAAGGGTGGAGCGATTCTTCTTCTCCAATGACAAGTCCAAGGTGAGCAGCTCGGGCCGCTGGAGCTGCCTGGGAATGCATCAGGTGCCCACGCTCTCTCCACCCCTCTGTTCCATACCCTCAGAGGTGGCCCCAGCAGAGTCCCTCTGACATCCCCTTCACCAGAACTGTGTCACGTGACCTCGCTTGGCTGCAGAGAGGATTGGGAAATGGAGTTTTTGGATGTGGCAGGAAGGCACAGGGAGTTGGAAATGGAGACTGAGCCAGACTCCAGAGTCTCCTGTGTGGGCTGTGTTTCTGATGTGTGGTTTCTCCGGAGAATCCAGGAGCAGGTATGTGCTGCAGACTCCAGAGGTGGGCAGACCTTCGTTGTCCCAGAACGGGGTCTGAGAATTGCAGGACCACAGCGGGTCAGAGCCAGGAGCTCCCTAGGAGAAGGTCCAACCCACCTGCCTCTGGTGACAGACTCGGAGACTCAGAGCAAGGCAGGGACTTGTCCAAACAGGCCAGATATCTTTCCTCTGTCCCAAGGCCTCCTATAAAATGACCAACCTCAGAATAAGTCACATGAGACACAGACGTGCCCCAATGCCAGGAGACATCTCATCCTTTCAAAATTCACACCCAGCAAACTGAACATGTAATGGGCAATAATTCGAGCTTCTAAAGAACTCTTCGGTTCTCAGGCATGAGCCTGAAAAGTCCATTTTCTTGAGCCTTTCAAATACTAGTAGAGCTGGACTGACTCATCGTCCGCCTGGAATGTGTGTTTCCGCTTTAACGCCTCATTAATATCTTACCGTCATTCGGTGCCGCCAGTACAGTTTCCAAAAACATTCTCACTTGTGTTATAATCTTTTGATCCACGTGACAATCTTTTGACATAGGTGTGTTTAGCCCCTGAATAAGTCAGGATTATTTCTATTACAAGTGACAGATACCTGTTTCCAACTGGTTTTAGCAGAAGGGGAAATGTTGGCTCCCAAGCTGGAAATCTAGAGACAGGTATGGCTGTATCCAGATGTCAGTCTCTCTCTCTAGCTCTAACTCTAGCTCTAGCTCTTCCTCCTTCACTCCTTCTCTCTCTCTCATCTTTTTGTTCCCCTTCTAGTTGTCTTCACTCTCAGGGGTGCTCCCCAAGGACCCTGCCCTGGTGCCCCAGTCCCAAATGAAAGGAAAATGCCCCTTTACTTGGCACTTCCGATTGCTCTGGCTTAGCTCACGTGCCTCCCTGAACCAAATGCCTGATTCTGACTGGCGAGTCCTAGACTGTGTGCCCACGTGAACTGCAAATGGGAGAGGGATGTTCCCCCAAAGAAAACTGGGTGCTATTATCAAAAGAAGAGGGAAGGGATGAGGGACAGTCAGAAGCAACTGATGTCCACCGGTGCTCTGTTTCTCCCTGTGACAGACAAGGAAGCCAGGCTCAGCGAGGTGCGCTGGCTTTTGCCTGCAGCCCCTGGGCTGGTAGGAAGGGGAGCTGTCTTGCCTTTGGTGAGGAGCCTGGATGGAGAGAAGGACCACGTGGGAGCGAGCCCTCGGCCTGCCTGGAGCCCAGCAGGCATCAGAATGTTAAGAGGGAGGGAGGAGGGTTTGGAGGGATGCTGGACTCCTAGCTGCTTCTCCTCCGCATTTCTGGTATTGCCTCGAGCAGGAAAAGATGTTCAGGTTTGTTGAACAACCCAAGCACGCCAGATACTGCTGGGTACTAGACAGGCATACTCACTCCAACCGTGCTTCTCAGAGATGGATGGAAGCTGAGACTCGGAAAGGTAAAGCCACTTGTCCAAGCCATGCAGTTTCGACTGGCAGGGAGGACTCCAGCGCCAGTGCTGTTTCTCTGAATGACTTCTCCATGGGGCACTATTGACATTTTGTGTAGGGTTGCCCCACACAGGGCAGGAAGTTTAGCTGGCTACGAGTACACTCAGTCATGGCAACAGCCAAGAACTGCCCATGCTGCCTGGGAATGTATCAGGAGCCCACTCAGGTATTTTTTGTTTAAAAAAAAAGGTTTTTTTAACAAAACTTTATTTTTATTAAAGGCAAATTTTTTAGATATTTGCAATGAAAACAGCCAGCAGGTCTCAGAGAAAGGTTCTACACGTCATAATGGGAAGAAGTACAGCAACACTATTTTAACACCTTTCATAACAGACATTCAATACCTTTATCGTGGAGGAAAGGATGAGCACAATGTAACATTTGCAAAAGCACTCCTCTGAAAAGGCCAGTTTGGTCCTTGGAGGTCAACCTTCCAAGGCGTCCCCATTACACAGTCAGGAAGCAGAGCAAGCCCTCGAGGAAAAAAAGCAAAAATGCCAAATCTTCTCCAACCACAATTACTTTTAATCTACGAAACAGGATTCTCTATAAGGCAGGCCGTTTCAGAGGGCGGCATGTACCAGGGGCATGCTCTGCCGTCCGGGACTGCAATCCGTGGGAAGCAGGCCTGCTATTTTCCCAGAATTGAAGAAGTACCATCATTAAGACAAGGGGGAGGAGGACTTGAACCCACCCTTCGGGGACAGGGAAGGGGAGAGCGCGGTCTCACAGCTGGAGAACCTGGGGACGCTGCTGGAGGAGCCTGAGATGCGCTCTAGCAGGCGCATGATCCCTCTTCCCCGAACACTGCTGTTCGGGCCTGAAATCTTCACCCCAGAAGGGTAGTCACCAGTGGGTGTGTTTGATCTTGGTTCCTGATTAGAATAGTTGAAATGAGAGAATCCTGAGCTCTCAAACCTTAGCTTCTGGTACCGCCCTGCATCCAATATGACCATTTTGGGTGTCACCCTGTTGCTGGCCTCGTCATCCTGCAAGGGCACGTGGGCCCCTGTGAGCTGGATTCCAAAGAGCGTGGCCAGAGAATTGCTGATGCCGTACGCAATTTTCTTGCAAACAGCTAAGGCGCAGAAGAGAATGTCATTTTCCTCGTGCCACTTGCACCTTGTGTTGCTAGAATAATCCCCCGTGGCCACATTGAGGAGGCTCCAAACCCAGGTCTTGGAGAGCTCCTTGAGGAACTTTTGCTGGTAGATCCCCACTGCAAGATCCTCGACAGTGAGAAGTTCCCGATTTTGCCTGATTTCCGACCCCTTCTCCGTGTGCTTCAGGCATCAGTTGACTCTGGCTCTTTCGTCAGACTTACAGTAGATAGGTGGCCACTTCCCTGGGTTCGGATGAATGAACCCATGAAGGTTTTGTAGCTCAGTTGCTTGGTCACATCCAGATTCGAAGGTTGAAATAGGAATCTTGTGACTCGAATCACTAGCAGCCTGACAATGTGATTCCAAACCCCAGCCCTGCAGGAGGCCACTTCTGCCTCTGGACAGGGCCCACCACAGCACGCTGACCGAGTCTGGTCCCTTTCAGCTGACCCAGGGCATGACACAGAGACCGCTTAATAAATATGTGACCAAGGGATGGAAGGAGAGAAGGAAGAAAGGGAAGGAGGGAGGGAAGGAAGGAAAGAAGGAACTGAAGCCAAACAGGACTGGTTACAAACCCCAACACTACCACTTACTGGGTTTATGGTATTGAGCAAATTGCTTAACACTTCTGTGCCTCAGTTTCCTTGTCTAGAAAATGGGGACAGTATTAGTAACATCTTTAGAGGGTTGTTAAGAGTATTAAATGGATTAATTCTTGTGAAATGCTTAGGACATTGATATTTCAAGAGCACTTTTTGTTAAATAAGTGAGCCAATGAATGAATGACTTTACACACACACACACACACACACACACACACACACACACACAGTTTTCTGTTTACAAAAGCTTTCATATTTGTTATCTTCCTTGACTGTCCCCCTTACCCTGTAAGAGCGCATTAGGCACACTTTACATTTGAAGAAACTCACTCAGGAGGTGAGGTCACTTGGCTAATGTCTTCTGGTTGTTCAACTGCAGCCCCAGAATTCTGTCTTCTCCGCGTTTTCCTTCCCCCACAAATACAGATTCTTAAGCCAAGAATGAACGAGTGAGAGGAGCTGCAGGGATTCCTACGTCTCAGAGTGCCTGCACAGGGAGGGGCTTTCCAGTCTCCACTCTGTCCAACCTGAGCTCTCATGGGGCTGCCCAGTGCTGTGGTGTGTGTGTGCGTGTATGATTCACCAACGGGTTTGGGAGGGAGGAGGCCAGCCATGTGGCCAGGACCACAGGACCACAAGAAAGAACTGGGTGGTGAGTGAAGGCTGGTGAACTGTCTGCCCACAGTCTCCCACTCTTTGCGGAGAGGAGCACGATCTCTGTGGTCACTCCAAAGCCTCCACACCTGTACTCCTCCCACAAGCCACACTCAGGACAGGAACTGGGTGTCTCCTTGGGGCACCTAGCACCCAGCGCACAGGAGTTGTGGGGAGACGCTACAGTGTTTCGGACAGGTTCAAGCTGTGGACTGATGAGAAGGCACAGTCCTCTCATTGCCACGTGCAAGTCCCAGCTTGGAGGGCAGGGCTCTCCCAGCACAATTATAGCCAACAGCTGTAGTTGAAAGCTTGAACCTATGGTCCAAATACATGGCCCCACGTGCCTGAGTGAAGTAGGCTTGATAGAGTTCAGGTGAATGTAGTTGCGTAGGATTGAAACCCATGAGAATGTTGTAAACATCTTGATCATGCATGCCCTTACCTTGCCTTGTGGCACCTGCTATAAAATAAAGACACGGCTTGTGGGCGCTGTCGCTGTCGCTCAGAGAAGCAGCGTCCCCCACCGAGACCCAGCTTTCATTCTCTTGTCCGTCTTTTCTAAGCCTTTCAGCCGCCCTCACTCAGGTTCACCCTTGGCCGTGCTGGCGCAGCACAAGGAGTGACTGCCCTGCTCTGTGATTCCTTTCAATTCCTCTCCATCCATCCTACAAAGATGAGTGAGATGGCATCTTGGCCAACCTCTAGCTGGGATGCGGAAGACGTGTGCCCTCAGAGAGCTCTCAGACAAGGGGGTGAGCCTCAGAGGAACAGAGACAGAGGATGGGGAAGGGCGGAGCACTGGGAGTGCACACGTGAGCATATACATACATGTGATGAAACTCTGGTATTCCCCTCCTCCCATGCCAAGATGCAGATCACAGCTATAGTGAGCTTCCACACCACAGATGTGTAGGGTAAAAATATGGAGAAACACTGAACTAGATAATTTATATCCCAAACTCAGACTCACAGATCTGCCGGGATGTCAGCCTTGGATATCTCCCCTCATCAGCTCTCTCCCCATTGGTATCTCACTCCACCTTTTTTCCCCTGGCAGAATAATCTAAATTATGCTGGATCTGGACTCCTCCTTACACCTGTCTACTTGGAATCTTTAAACTTTCTTATACAGGCCAACCCGACCTAATTCAACTCAATTCAGTCCACCTCAATTATCCTAAATTCAACTCAAACCAACCCAGCTCGACTTCTTTCCACTCAATCCACCCAAATCAATCAAACTCCACTCCACTCAACCAAACCTAACCCATTTTGACACAACCCAACTTGGCTTAACTCTACTAAATTCATGGCAAGCTAGCTCAACTCAGCTCCACCCAAATCCAACTCCATTCTACCCAACCAAACCCACCCCAATATGAAATAACACAATTCTATTCCACTCCACCCAAGCCAAACCAACGACACTTAACCCAGCTCAACTGATCCCATGTCTACCTGGCTCGGCTCTCCTTTTATATCTCCTCCTTCCTTCCAACACCAAATACCTGCCTCTCAACCCTCCCCCCACTACCAGATTCCCCATTATTCCTTAAATAGTGAGCCAGAGGGTCAATGCCTGATCTAAAGAAAGATGAGGACTGACATATCTTGATGTGGGGTTGGGGGGATGAGGAGAGATAAACCAAAGAACTTATATGCATAGTCCATGGACACAGGCAATAAGATAGTGAAGATCTTGGGGGGGAGGGGCGTGGACGATAGAGGCTGGGACGAGGGGAGTAAATGGGGGTGAATGGGAATATCTGTAGTACTATCAACAATAAAAATACATTTTAAGAAAGAAGGACATTTTTCTTTGGGCTTCCCTCTCCTTGCTCTTTTTAATCACATCCCCCTGCAGGCAATAACCTTCATTCCTCTCTGATGCCCCACCATTTACCCCTACACTTTAATGAAACTCCACGGCCATGAAGCCTCAGAGATGCCAAGCCTATGTGGGTTCTCATATCTGTACACACTACCCCAGGGAGGTGAGGTCTGGAGGACATTTAGGTTAGGGGCAGGGAGGGTACTATGTAATGGGCAGAAGGATCACCTTGCAGACAAAAGCAAGATCTGGCTTGACCCAACCCCACCCTCAGGGAACAGAACACTGTTCCTGGCTGTTTTTCTACTCCTTTATGGCCCTGCCCTATCCCTACATTTATCTCTGTCTGGTCTCTGATCTCTGTCTCTGCCATTATCTCTGCCTCAGTCTTGGGGGAGGGCCCTGTCTCTTCATCTCTGGGACGCTCTCTTCCTCTTTCACTGTCTCTGTGTTGCTATCTGTGTCCCTCTTGCTGACTGTGTTCCTCTCCATCTCGGTCTCTCCTTCTGGCACAATCTGCTTCATGTTCCACGTTCTGGCTGGGAGTTGTTGCTCCCGAACAGAGAGGTCTCCACCCTTCACCCCCTAAACCTCTTCCCTATCAAGGGAGCAATAGCCACCCAGGCCACCTGAGCCCAGGGGCGAAAACTGCTGCCCCCATCGGAAATCAGAATACAATGGAGCTGGAAGGGAATTCAGGCCAATCTTCTCATTTTACGGATGGGGAAACCGAGTCCCAGAGACTGCAGGGGACTCTCCCCGGCCATTCAGAGTTAGTGGAGAGAGAAGGAGGCCGCCTGAGGTGGAGGCCCCGGACTCTGACCCCCAGGGTAGGAAGGACTGGCTGGGAGGGATGTGGAAGAACCAAGCGTCCACCCCCAAAGGTCACCTCCACGATCAAGGGAGGCCTGCCTTGCACACCATCACAGAGCAGTGCCTCCCCCTGACTCCCCCTCCCCCCGATAGTAAAATGTATTTTCTGGGGGTCAGGGAAGAAAGGAGACAAGAAGCATCCTGGGTGCCCCTTTGGTGAGGGTCATTCATCTCTCACCCTGACCTTCTCACCTCTTGGAGTCAGGACCCAGTGTGTAGCAGAGCCAAGGGGAAGCCCACCTAGTCCAGGGGGAGGAGGAAACCAGGGTTGGAATCCTGAAACAGAGCCGGGTGCCTGAGGGGCAGGGCTGGCAGTTCAGCCAGACTGAAGCCAGAATCCAGCCCTGGAGCCCTTGGCCTCCGGCTCCCTGCCCAGCCAGGCACAGCCCCCAAGTCTCTCCTGGTGTTGGTCAGGCTGAACCCTGATGGGCGAGGGCGGGGCGAGGACTGCATTCCTCCCCGGATCCACCCACTGCCAGCTCCAGGTTTATCTGGACTCCAGCAGAAACCGGTGCCCCCAAGGGCCTGGGCCAGAGCAAGGCCAGGGGAAAGGCCCTTCTCCAGCCAGAAGTCAGGGCCCAGCTCTCTCCTAAGCCAGGACTCCCTGCCGGTCTAACTGGGCTGAAGATGCCTCTCTCAGCAGCTCAGGTTCCTAGGAAGACACTAGCCTCGGCCTGTCTCAGCAGCTCAGGTTCCTGGGAAGACACTGGCCTGGGCCTCTCATAACTCTAGGATTGGAGAAGCTGGGAGGGGCGGGGGGCAGGGGGAGGAAATAGATTCTAGACCCATGGACAGGGGCCACCAGGGCCAGTCCTGACCTGACCTCCAGTACCCTCACGCCACTTCTCTAAGCCCCCTGCTTCCTGACTCTCTGCAGAAGGGGCTCACATCACTGGGCCCAAACCTCCACTGAACAGACCAGGAGACTGCAGCCCAGAGAGGGAAGGCGTTTGCCCAAGGACACAAGGCAGAGAAACAGCCTGAGTCCAGGGCTCCTGGCCTTCGATGGGCCCTTCCCCAGCAGGCTCTCGGGGCAGAGTGCTTGCCCCTTACGCCCAAGAGGCCAAATTCTCACCCCACAACTCGGGAGTGCCCTGCTCCTCAGAGCCAGCAGCTCAGCCAGAGTCCCAGCTCCCTCCAGAGGCCCCCCCCCTTCCCTCTTCCTGCTGCTCCCCGCTGACCTCGGCTCTTCCTTCTCCTTTCCCAGCACCCCTCTCCCCACCCCTGCCCTGAGCCCAGCAGAGCTGGGGGTAGACAAGGAGGAGGGATCTGAGCCCTGCTTCCACCCCTCTCCGCGCCTGCCTGGACCTCAAGACAGGCCAGGTCGCGGTCCCTGTGTCAGATCTCACAGGACTGGCCTCGGTCACATCCGCCACCAGGCAGTCATTCCTGAAAGGTCCTGACACGTGAAACTGAAGTCTGCTTCCCTGGCGTGGCCTCGGGCCTCAGGGTGCAGGTGGCTTCCTCTGAGCGATGGCGATGGCCCCTCGGAGGTGGGCCGGCTGCGGTCACCTTCATGACTGCTTCAGGAGGCTAGATTCCCCCAGGAGGCCCGGTCCTGCCTCTGCCCTTCTAGTTGTGGGCCCCAGGGACTCTGCCCTGTAGAGCTCTTCCTTTGGCCGACCTGCATCTTATCCTTTCCCCCTACTGACCCACAACTGTCCATGTAAGAGTTTCGTTGATTTTTGAGAATCTTTCCAGCAAATTGCCAAACCTGAGGGCCATTTGGGGGCACCTCCTGAACTTTCGGTTGGTGTCAGGAGTGAGGGCAGCCTCACGGGCAGACTGTGCCCTCAAGATTGTCATGAGCCTAACTTACAGCAGCTGCTTCCCTGATCATTCATTTCATCCTCACAATAGCCCCAGGTTGAAATGTGGTCTACGTCACACAGTTGGCAAGCCACAGAGGTGCGATTTGAAAGCATGTATCCATGCACTGGAGTCTGCGCCTGTAGCCACTGCACATACTGCCCACCTGGGGGCGGCAGAGAGGTGGGACTGGCGGCTTTGCCGGGAACATTTCCCAGAGGGGTTTCCTTGCAAAGAGGCTGATCTTTGTCCTGAGGTCAATAAGGATCCATTGATGGTTTCAGCAGAGAGTGGCATGCACAGCGGAGGGCTTTAGCAAGGTCCCTCTGGATGCAAATGCAGACTGGACTGCAGACAGGCCCAAGTGGGGAGAAGACCAAACGCGAGGCTACTGCAGCGGAGCAGATGAGGACGGTGGCAGCTGGACCTGAGCCATGGTCTTGGGAATGGAGAGCTCTGGACATGCTCCAGGTCTGCCTAAAAGGTAGACTTGACAGGACTTAGGGACAGACTGGAGTTAGGGCAGAAGTGGGCAGGAGGAGCTGAGGGTAACACCCAGACTTCCAGATTAGACCATTAGAATACTAAGGCAGGGAAGACAGAAGGAAGAACCGATTTCGGGTGGACTACACCATCATTAATGACCCCAGAGTTCCACAGGGGCCAATGGCCCAGAACAGGGCACCTCCACGCCCCAGGCATAGAACAGTGTTGCTAGTTCCAGAGCAGAGGCGGCATCCTCACCTACCTCACAGTGGCCACCAGGTGGCAGCACAGGCCGCCCTTTTCCAGGAAGGCTGTCTGGAGGAGGGAGAAGGCTCTCAGCTGGGGATGCAGACCCACCAGGAAAGTCTCACCCAGGGGCCTGTGACTGAGTTCCTGCAGCTACAATGTCAAACAAGACCTGATCTAGGAGACAGGAGTCCTGGGTTCTAAGTATTGCCGGTGACCCGGAGCCAGCTCCTTCCCCTCTCTCAGGCTCCGGTTTCTCTCCGATAGAGTGCGAGCCTTGCAAGGGAGCCAGAAGCTGACAGAGGAACTTTTAACCCCTTCTCTGGCTTTTCACCCCTATCAGCCATGGCTTTCACACACATTTGTAGAAGCAACATCTACTTTTATTATTATTAATTTCAGAGAGAGGAAGGGAGAGAGAAGCATCATTGGTAACCTGATGCATATGCACCTGGATGGAACCCAAACATGGGTGTGTGCCCTGATGAGGAATCAAACCCACCACCTTTAGGGATGATGCTCCAACCAAACGAGCCACACCGGCCAGGCCAAGGTAACAGCTTCTTTCACAAACAAAATCCTGTGTCCCCCACCTCCACCCCATATATGAAACAGACAAAATGTACGTGAATCTGCTCTAGTCTTGGGGGTTGGGGCCCTCCCAAGCCGACACAGAGGATAAAGGCCAGACCCCTCACCCCGGCATTCAAGGCCCTTCCCTCTCTGCCTCTCCAGTGCCATCGCCCACCCTCCAGCCCCCACTCTCCCATCCACACCACACTCTCCCCTGCTTCTCTGTCTGCCTGTGCTGGACTTTCCCTTGGGGCGGCCCTTCCCTCCCCACTCCTGCTTCAAATCCTCCTCATCCCTTAACCAGGTCTTTTGTCACCTCCCCCAAGAAGCCTTCTCCAAAGCCCCGGATGGAGAGAGTCATCCCTCCCCCACACGGTCCCACATCTCAGTCACCAGCCCCTGCTGTGGTCAGGCACTTCCAGCAAGCCAACAGCACTTCCCCTGGCTCTGCACACCTCACGTGCTACATGTGCCTTCCACGTCTCTCCCTCCTGCTCCTGAGCGTCCGGGGGGGTGGGGGGGGGGGCAGGCCCGACTGCCCCGTAGCTGAGTGTGTCCAGGCCTCCCCCAGCCGCACTGGCAGATCGTCCACCTGTCCTGGGCCTCGGCGTCCCCTCTGTGGAACGGGGGCTGCCGTCATCTAACCAGCACTGTGTGCAGGGTCAGGACTCCCTACATAATTCGCGGGGCCCGATGAAAATGTGCTATCCCTTGTTGCAAATTATTTCTAAATTTCAAAACAATAACAGGGCATTAAACCAGGCATAGGTTGCACACCCAGGGAGCCACCCATGAAGTTCCTGCACACACGAGGGGCCTGAAATCCAGCCGGCCTGCACCTGGGGCTTTGTCCACTGCGGAGAGCAGCTACGGTGTTGGGACAGGTTATGGCCCGAACCTGTGGTCCCACGTGGCTAAGTGATAACAGCGGCGGAGCTGCCGGAGGCGCAGCAAGCAAACAAAGCTGGATCAGGTGCAAGTAATTGAGCAGATTCGAACCCCACGAGAACGAGAACGTGGTAAGCATCTTGACCACGCCCTTATTTTGCCTCGTGAAACCTGGCTATAAAATAAAGACTCGGCTTGCAGGCTTGACGCTGTCTCTCCATCAGAAAGCAGCTAGACCCAGCTTTCATCCTCTTGCCTGTCTTTTCTCAATCCTTCACTGCCCCCTCCCAGGTTCGCCCGTGGCCGTGCTGGCGTGGCACAGTCCACCAAGAACACAGTCACCTTTCTCTTTACTCAAGGGCACTTTCTGCTGGTCTGCAGGGGTCCAGCGAGCTGCATTTGTCCAGTAGGGAGTGCCTTTCCCTAAGTCACACGAAGGTGTCGGCTTGGCCCACACCCTGCCCACCTTCTCTGAGATCCCCTGGCCCTGGCACGCGAACTGTGCTCCCAGACTGCTTGTTGCATGAGGAAAGGGAGCCAGAAACTGAACACAAGAAATTAGAAGGGATCAGGGCAAAAGCCTAGAACACAACTGTGGCCTATTAATGTCCCGTAAACGAATGACTAAAACGAAGGCCTAAGACCAGGCATCTGGGAAATGACATTGGGGAATTACTGGACTAAAAGGGACTGAGAAATCATCAAATCCAGGGTTTTCAAACGATGTTCTTCAAAGCTATAGGGACCTGCAAAGGTGTGTCAGGGGCAGAGGGTGTGGGGGAGCGGTGGGGGGGGGGGGGGGGGGCATGGGAAAAGCCAGGCATCAGGATCGGGCCCTCCCCGCCTTCGCTCTCATCTGTCTCATATACTGGGCTTCTCATGTAAGCTTCTGTCTGAAGAACAGTTCTGCTGGCTTAGGAAGAGCGAGAGATGCCCACAGCCACACAGTACCGGCTGGGGAGAGGAAGGCAAAGAAGAGGGATCAGGGATGGGAGGCCACAGTCAGCCTGCAGCTCCTCGATGAGATACAGGCAGAAGAGTAGGCATCAGAAACTGGAGTTTTATTCCAGAAATGTGAAATCAAGGCGGAGGAAGCAAGATAAACCAGAGCAGGGGCCCTCAAACTTTTTAAACAGGGGGCCAGTTCACTGTCCCTCAGACCGTTGGAGGGCCAGACTATAGTTTTAAAAAAAAAAAACTATGAACAAATTCCTACGCACACTGCACATATCTTATTTTGAAGTAAAAAAAAAAAAAAAACGGGAACAAATACAATATTTGTATTTGCATGTGGCCCGCGGGCCGTAGTTTGAGGACCCCTGAGCCAGAGGGTGGAGATCAAGGATGGCAAACCTCAGCTCAGAGCAGAGATTCACAGTCAAGTTTCAAATTCAGAGGCCAAAGGTGGGGGCCCACGCATGGCTTTGTTCACTCGGTCGGTATTTACTGAGCACCTACAGTGTTCCAGGCACAGTTCTAGGCTCCACAAATAGAGCAGTGAGCAAGACAACGCCTCACAGGGCTCAGATTCTTGAGGGGAGAGTGGGAATGTCAAGACATAAACACTATTATAAGAAAAGAAAAAGGAATCAACCAGCTGAACCAGCTAGAGATACGTCACGTGAAGAAAATTAAACAGAGGGAGAGGGCGAGACTGCCAGTAGGTGGGCTAGTTCATATAGGGTGGTCAGAGAGGGCCTCCCTGAGGAGGTGACATTTGAGCTGAGCTCTGAATGAGATGGGGGCCGCTGCTGCCCCAGCTGACAGGAGACTGTGGAGTTGCCTGGCTGGAGAGCCTGCAGATCCACACTGCACAGTTGGGCGGGCTGGGCAGGAAGTCTGGCCCCCTGTAACCGTATCCCCAGGAAAGAGGAAGCCAGGAAGGCGCTTTCAGCAGTCGTATTCATCAAGGCCGTTGCACTAACCCCCAAGCAGCACCAGAGGCTCCTTAGAGCCCCCGTCCACCTTCAGCCGCCTGGGAGAAGGCAGCAAGGGAGGGAGGGCGGCCGAGAGTGGGCCCTGGATTCCCTTCCAGACAATAAATGCTTCCAGGTTCCTGGGGAGCATGCCATGGGTCACAGCCGCATCTGATCTCAATTACCCCTGGTGTAGGGTTCCCGGGCTGGGCGGGGGCAGGGGTGGAGGGAAGGCCATTCTCTATAATCAGAATATCCTGGCCCAGCGAAGGGAAGGCACCCCAAGACAGGTCCCTCACCTTGTAGGACTCAATGGAGGGGCTCTCTCTAGGAGGAGAGGTCTGACTGTGGGTGCAGGGCCACTGTTTCATAGCCTTTTGCTGTGTGACTTGGTGAAAGTCACTTAACCTCTCTGGGCCTCTGTGGAAATGGCGAAAATGCTGCCTTTTCCTTCTCAAGGAGGCAAGAGTATCCAAGTCTGGAGAACAAAGCTCAGTGCTGTGGGCAGGGCTGGGCTGGGCTGGGCTGGGCTTGCTAATCCCTTACTTTTCCTGCCTTGATTAGATCTTAATCCTCGTGCAAGTACATCCCCACCCAAAGTTAAGGTGCCAGAGTTGTCAGGACTAGCATCTCCTAAAGCAGACCCAGGAGACCTTCTTGCCGCACCCCACCCCACCCCACCCCCAACCTGCTTGGGCCGAACACTTTACCTCTCTGGGCCTCAGTTTACCCACGCCCACCTCCAGAGGTAACAGGGTAGAGCTGGTTTGAAAAGATACAGATCAGTAACCATGTTCGTTTGGTCTATTTTACAACCAACAACCACAAAAATGGCCATATTTCTAAGACTCAGGGAGGAAGCCCGGATGTGTAAAATGTCTGCAGGATACAGTTCTGTGCTTGGGGACCTTGGGCAAGTGTTTCCTCTCCAGACCTCAGTTTCCCCATCCATTCAGGTGCCTGCAGACCGAGT